TTTTTGCACGGGCAACAGAACATATTCTTTTCTGAGTAAAATCAGTGAGCATATCATGAAAATAAATCCGAGAAGAAAGAAAAAGGCCCAACCCTGCCCTGCCAGTTATTTGGACTTACGGGGGTCGCCATGGCAAATAATAAACATAAAACTGCACACGTACGTTCGGGCTCTCCGCCTTCTCCGTGAAATTATAATACCGTAAAAGAAAACTAGAGGGAAAAAAGAAGCAACAATGAGGAATAGGAACTGATTTAGGAACCACTTGCAGTCAGTTACACAGGGCAGCGGGCCTCGGCAACGGCCAAGGTAGCAGATGCATCCGCCACATCGCTGACGCGCATGGGCGTCGCCGAGCACCACGCAAACAAACCATGCTGGAGCGAACCAGAGCAAAGCCAAGTCGGCAGCGAATCCACGCCATTACACGGTTGCGGTACGGCTCCTTCGTCTTGTAGGACAGGAGCCCGGCAATCCGCTTATAGCAGGCTGTTGCCGACTTTCCCATGCCGCCTGTTGAGGAGAGAACGAGAGGTGAAAAAGTTGCATGTTCGATCTCTCGAACACTGTGACGCTCCTCATAGCAGCGGCGTTTCTCCCGTTCGTGGCGCTGGTAGCAGGAGGGTACTGAGGTGGAGCAATTTGAAGCCGCGAAAGGGTTAAAAACCCGTACGTCGAAGAAAGTGCGGTCAAAACGCCCACCCCAGACACCACTAGCTGCTATATCCAGCCTAGCCCGGGGGTCCGTTATGGCAGAGCGGTAGCGGAATGCTTCCCCAGTTACCGGCTGCAGGTGTGGTTCAGTGGTGACGTTGTTGGCGACCCGTTTGAGGAGACCAGCCGTAACATCTCGTACCTCGTTGTGCCTCAGTGAGGGAAACCCACCCAGAGAGCACGACAAGGCGTGGGCGACGGTGAACGATGCACCACACGGGCAGATCGATGGAAGGTGGGCTGGCGGCCAGCCATAGCGGAGCGCAAGGCCATCCCGGAACTCACCCTTCGAGAGGGCAAAGCCATGGGCATTCAGGGGTCTACAGGTCAGCCAAGACGACGCACCCTTCTCCGCCGCCAGACCGACACAGAGCTGGATATCAGTGTTCTGCGTCAGGATGAACTCTTTGGCTGCTTGGGCCGTTGAAGTGCGGGTACGACTTGCCACCTCCCTCTTAGTGGACCGTACCAGGTCCAGCACATGGCCAATCTGGGTGTCCTGGTCCAGAATCTTGCGGACGAGCGCCGAGGTTATCGCTGCCGATGCCCGGAACTGGTCGCCCAAGGTGGTGGGGTCGACTAAGCCGAGGCCTCCTTCACGGCATGGGAAAGCAAGGACCCTTCGCTCACGTGAGTTTACTGGCTTACCACACAGGGCAGGAATAAGGACATTGGTGATGGTGTCTTCCAGAGGGCCAAGATTTTCAGCAGCACACTCCATGACTCTGCACAGGAAGGACCAGCGATGCTTCAGGCCTTGCGTGAATGCTGCATAGGCAGCCTGTGGCTGGGTTTCGGCAATCTTGGCCAAGGACACGATCTCGTCTTTCCACTCGTTTGCCTTCGATCTGGGAAACATAGCTCTGGACGAACTCCGTCGATCCGAGTGCAGCACCTAGAAACCGGTGGCCGTCGGTGGTAATGTGCACACCGGTCCCTGCAAAGGCGTCCTCAGCTTCCGTCAGGTGACCGGCCTTGACAACCAGGACTGATTTCTCAGCATTTGCTGCGTACCCATATGCCGGTCCTTTCTGTCGCAGAATATCCCACCAAGCGCGTAGTCGTTGGACTCTGCCGCCCGCGGAGGAGTCGTCTGCAAACCACATCTGGATCGTTCCCTCAGCCGAGAGAGCACGAATGAGGGGTAGAATGCCCAGCGCATACATCGGCATCGCGATGGGATCGCCTTGGGTGGTGCCCTCTGCCGACATGATGACGCTGCCCCCAACAAACAGCTTTGCGGGTTGTCGGTAGCTGTTAATAACGACTGTCGCCAGGGATGGGCATAGGTGACGCATGTTGCGCAGGCATGCTTCCCTGTTCAGCGTGTTAAACGCATTCGTGGCATCTGCCATTAAGACCACTTCGGTATCCTCCTGGTCGAACGCCTGCTGCATGGCATGTATCGCCGCCTCGATCCCACAATCCTGGCCTGCACAGAGTTGAAGGGCGCCAGCTGCCTCTTGAATATCCTGACCAATTACGTACAGGATGGCCTTGCCCACCACTCTCCGCATCACCTCGCCAATCCCAATGGGTCTAACCCCCGGGTTCTTGTTGAGGGGGATGAGTCGGGATGCCAGGTACGCTTCCAGCGATCGGGGGTCGACAAATTCGGTCACCACACGTCGAGCAGAGCTTGCCAGCGCATCGCATAGCAAGTCAGACGCATCGGAGAACATTGTGCACATCCACCTCCATGCCTCAGCGTCTACACCTGACGGGCCGGCTGCGCCATGAGTGTTGAGTACCGCCTTTCTCACCAAGTCACGATTGAGACCAGAGAACCTGACCGGATGAGGCTGAGGAGGGGGAACACCTGGTATCAGGGCCTCCGTGGCTAGGGGCGCAGGGTCAGGGTGTTTGTCTTGCAGGACCTCCTGCACTGACTTGTCACCGATGCTGTCATCCAGCGCCAGGGCTCCAGCATTTCCGTTGGGGGCTAGCGATCGTAGGGCGTTGGATAGCTTCCCACTTGTCACCAGGTTTGCAAAGTGGCGTGCATCATCCTTCTCCTTGTTACCCCCGCGGTGGGGCCGGCTAGGTGCTGTGAGCTCCTCTTGAATCGTTCGGCATTCGTGCAGCAGGTCGTGTAGGTCCCCTCTGTGCCATGCTGCTAAGCGGCGCTGAAGGATATATGCGGATTTCTCTGCAGGACCTGGCGGCTTCTGCAGCATCAGCATTTGGAAGACCATGGCTACTTTCAGAGCTATGCCTTCATATGGCCCACTGGTTCCAAAGCACACAATGTAATTGGAGAGTTGGGATACAAAGAGCTTGCCAGTGGCTCCTCGGGGTACCTGCATTGCATTCTATCTACAGTGTACCACTTCTTCGTACACGTCTTGCACAGCCTGCACAGAATCCAAGTTGGTACGCTCGCCCAGAAGGAATCCTGTAGTGGGGGCAGTAGGGAAATTCGGGAGATCCCGTGGGCCTTCCTCCAGCTCCTGACCTGAGTGTGTCGGGGTCTGTTGCAGCTGGCTCTGATCCAGATTGGCTACGAGGTCGACCTCTTCTGGGGTGGGCACCACAGGGCTTTCCTGGGACGCACTTGTGCGTGCTTGATGCTGGTCCAGTGTTCTCCACGCATACTGCTGGGAGTCCGACTGAGCGCCGGCAGGAGGCTCGTCCGCTCCGCCCTCCGTAACCACGGTGGTTTGTTGCAGCTGATCCAGTGCTCTCCAAGCAAACTGTTGGGAGTCTGAGGCGGCGCTAGCGGTCTGATCGCCAGTAAATCGAGTGGATTGATTGGCCTCATGGACTGTGTACTCATGGTAAGCCGTGACGTGAGTTTTTGGAAGCTTCGCTTGGTTATCCCGACCGAATTTGTGTGAGTTTCCGGAATTTTATCGAGATTTATCAACAAGTTTGTTGGAAGATTTGATATTTGTGCGAACTAAACCCGAATCCTGCCAAGCAAATTTTCACGTCACGTCGCACGTGTAACTTTTAAAACCTCTAAACATTACACGTAACGTGAGATTTAAAAGAGAAAAGGACATATGGATACGAGTTCTAAAGAGTAACTCTCCATCACTGTAACATGATACTATTATAGTATCATGTTACAGTGATGGAGAGTTACTCTTTAAAATTATACAGTCAGAAAGTGCAATAACTAGGCACAAAACTGACAGAGTACTGAGACATTCGACGTCCTGACACCTAACTTCAACACATTCAACACATCTCCGTACTCTGTCAGTTTTGTGCCTGGTTATTGCACTTTCTGACTGTATAGTATCATGTTACAGTGATGGAGAGTTACTCTTAACTCGTATCCATATGTCCTTTTCTCTTTTACATTTATTTATGGCTCAACATCCGAGTTTCAAAAGTGAGATTTGCACCGCGTTTTGAAAAAATGCCAGGAAGAAGAAAGGTGTGTACCGCGCCCACGTTGACAACGAATTGTACTTGTTCAGAACAAAACAGATACGGTACTCGTACAGTACTCCACATCAGGCACATGACTCATGGGAGACTTGGGAGTACAATATAGTTGTAATATACTGATCGACCCAGACAGCTATATTCTGCGCAACAAAAATTAATGTTGCTGGGGCCAGCAGCAAGAGTACATAACCCCCAGGGGTTATGTACTCTTGCCAGCATGCTAGCAGTGCTAGTGCCAGTAGTGGGAGCTGGAGATCTTCGATGTTACTAGAAAACCGATATTTTGCTCCAATTTGCTCCGGAAAAACGTGTATTTTATCAACTTCCCGTACAATGTTTCATAAAAACCACAGGGTCGGTTTCTCAACACGGGTTTTCACACAATGTGAAATAAACTTCAGAAACAACTAATGTTGGAAGAGGATACCAGGTTTGCAGAAAAAAATTCTGAAAAAACTCAAGTTGAACTCTGATGGTACCGGTACATATGGTGAGCCAATTTAATTATGGTGAAAAAGGAGAAGGACAAAGTGTTACGAGTTACTACTTGCAACCATGGCAACTGTCCAACAACGTAACCAGGTCATCAGTATACAGTCAGCGAGTGCGACAACACACACAAAACTGACAAGGAGTACTGAGACATTCAACGACCTGACACCTAGCTCCAACCGTGATTTCCTCAAGGCGCAAGCCAACAACCTTCCAACTATTGAACTTGGAACTGTGAGGCTCGGGTTCCCGCGGGAAGGTCCAAGAGGCCCTCCATCCTTCCCGGGGAAGGAAAGCGCATAATCATAACTCGTAACACTTTGTCCTTCTCCTTTTGCCATTTATAGCCAAACTGAGCTAGAAGTCCATCTTCAAGTTTATGAATGGACTGTAGGTTCAGTGCTAAGTCACCGATAAGGTGTTAACGGGAAATTCTCGTGCGTTTTCACTTTTCGTACAAGTAGCAACGCGCAACAGAAATTACCTTGGTGATATACAGCACATGAAAGTGATGCGAGATGAGGCAAAGGAGAGTCTGTACCAGGGAGTCGTAAAGATATGGTATTATAGTAAGTACGGCTACCTGGTCAGCACAGTACCTGTAAGTGTACCATGTGCCGGCTGCCACCATAACTGGGAACCACTTCTCATGCTTCACAGTATACAAAATTAAACTAGTTTTGATAGGTTATACAGGGTAGGGTCCAGCACTGGCCAGCAGCTAATCATCCGAGTGATTACAGCAAATCATAAAAGTTACTCAAATAATAGGAAATGACCTAACTGCACGATCATTTTGGCTATCAGTCTGCACGATAAAATTAATATGTACAACATGAGTGATGCTAGCACCATAAATACACAAACTGCAACGCCTATACTGTGACAGTCCGCATCTGTTAACAGATTTTGCAAGAAAACAGAGAAGCCTTGCTGTGGTGCATACAAGACGAGTGTGCTCAGGTTAACTTTAACGTAATGCCAGTTTCAGTCTCTCAGGCCACATGTTTCAGCACACAAAGGTATCCTCTCAACGACCGTGACTCACTCAGATCAGGCATGCATGTTCAATGCAAGCCGCTATGATAAACGGAGGGCATGTATAAATCGCAACTTGGAGACTTGCTAGAACACAATTAGCCGGCATGCATGCAGGATTGAATGTAGGAGCAGCAGTGGGCCACACCAACATCCCAGATAAACACTCCAGCTTGGCGCATGCAAGCGGCGCACCAGCACTGATGATTACTCCAGCTTAGCACATGCAAACGCACCATGGCCATCAGAGAAGTAGACACGCAGTCCCTCCTGATCGATTCGTCGCTGGCTGCTTCCTTCAGCTGTTGCAAAGCTGGGTGAAGTCGGTGATGTAGGTGATGAAGCAGGTGTTAGACTGCAACTCAGCACAGGGTAGAAGCTGTGTGGGCCTGCAGTGTGAGCAGCAACACCGAGATTTACAGTAAGGGAAAAATCACTGCCCGCATACTAACGTTACATGGCCTATTAGAAGACATTGAGTGCCGGATTGTGAACCTGTTCTATCTCCTAGATTGCCATATTTCATTTACTCCCCATGCATAGCATTACTACACATGTAGACTGATCCTTTCCTCCTTCCCTGACCGTGACCTAATCAGGCACAGTCACCATGGTTACCTACTTCGAAGTAATACTAAAAGGGATCCGGTAACAGAAGCCGTCAGTAAGCGCAATTTTTACTGCAAAGTATTCCCGTCCTATTCATCCTGAGCAGGCTTGGAAAGAAGAGGCTAGTACTCTTTAGGACAAATACGTTTACTTCATAGTAGAACTGAGGGTAGTGTTTCACTCACCAGAGCCCAACATAGGCAAGAAGCCAAGTAGCCTGCCATCTTCAGAGAACCAGTACAGCTCTTCACGGCAAAAGCCATTTCCTTTCCGGGCAGAGCGGAGTTGGGTTGCACACACCAATAGACCTGATACGGGAAAGCAAATATCGAACAAACGTGCTTTGAAAAATATAGAACACCGATCACCTCAATTGGGAATGTAGACAGGACATGAGCACGGTAATCAAGTGCAGTGTTCACTCCCATGAGCCCCTCGACAGGCTACTAGCCTCTGAGTCACCCCTCATATACAGTATATATACCGTAATAAATTATACTAATACTTCTGAGGAGTTCACACACAAAAGGCACATAGCGCCATTCGTGTGTGCCGCGCTGTGGCATTGGCACACGCTTAGCAGTGGGGAGGAGGGTGACTAAACATACATATACAGGAGATTATCACTCCAGGTGTGATAATGAGAAAGCAATTAAGGTGGCTGGGGCGGTACAACTTTTTAGGGGTCATTTTGATCACATTTTGACTGCATTTTTGAGTTTATTGGCAAGGTGGAGATGAAATTTGAAAATGTTTTCTGGTGAATCTCTGGAGAAGAGCCTTCTCTAGCCTCCTATAGCTTTATTTTTACTTTTGGACAACATTTGAAAATGTTTTATGAAAGGTCCGTGAAAAAATAACACGGACCTTTCATAAAACGTTTTCAAATTTCATCTCTGCCTTGCCGATAAACTCAAAAATGCAGTCAAACATTTCCCAAAAAAGTTGTACCGCCCCAGCCACCTTAAATAAAAAAATACGTAGGAAAGGCAGGAATGGGAAACTTGACTGAAAAGAGCTACCATGAATATCTGCAAATACTTGTTGAAGAAAGTACGTCCGCGAAATATGTACATGTACCTCCTCCCTCTCCACCAAAACACACTCTAAAGAATGTTCTCCCAAAAGCAAGTACAGTCGAATGTCACTTATCCGGTCGCCAGTTATCCGAGCACGTCGGTTATCCGACAAGCCCGGGAGTGGTAATTTTATGACTCTCAACAGTAAAATTCTTTAAAAAATGTTTTTTTTTAATATTATACGGTGTAATATGCATTTACTTGAAGTAGATGTGGTCAAGTATGCTAACATGTATGTGTACATGGAGCAATTCATGAATAGGCATGAATATATTTGGGTATTGTGTACATAAATCAGTGAAATCCAGCCATATATGAACATAAAAAATGATATCAGTTATCCAACATATCCAGTTATCCAACATGCCTGATTCCCGAAGTGGTCGGATAAGTGACATTCGACTGTACATGTACATGTATCCTTGCTTATTAGTACATACTGTATTTTCCGGAGTATAAGCCGCAATTCGAACTCTCAAAATTTACCCACAAAAGGGGGGGGGGGGTGCGGCTTATATACTTCGATGATCAAATTAACGTTGATAAATAGGATAGATGTCTATATTTCGTGGCAAAAAAAATGGGGGTTGTGGCTTATACTCCAGAAAATATAGTAGTCTCTGGGCATCAACAAACTGTATTTTATAACGAGACTTATCTTGTAACACGACTTGCAAAAACGTAAACTACAGACCCAAACTTACCTTTCTGGGCAGGAAGAAGACATGCTTCCACTGGCCACCCAGATAGCTCTTGTTCCAGTACAATACGTGCTGCGCTCCGACCATCATTACTGTGCCCAGTATAACACAGGATAACACAGGATAACACAGGATAACACAGGATAACACAGGATAACACAATATAACACAGGATAACACAATAGGATAGGTCAGTGTGAACAATTTGGACAATTATTTGGACAGTTAATCAATGACCATAGTAGCGTATGAAGCACACTGGCTTACTCTGGCCTGCGATAGAGACGAATCCAGACAAAGTGGCACTCAACTGCCAACACAACGTCTCTGGATGAACCGATGCTTTCCTCGCCATCTTTAAGCAGTGCAGCTGGATGGCTCCTGCACAGAACGGAAATGTTGTCCGGGGATCCACGGTAGAATCTCTCAGCCGTCTCCACAGACTCCTCATCTTCAGGGAGTCCATCATCATAGCTGATGTAGGGAAGACCATCCTCCTTTGAAATATCCACGTTACCGGCTGGCTCAGCCTCAACAGCTGCACTTGCTTCACCTGTCACGTCAACGTCCTGGTGACTGTCAGAAGCATCCTGGGCAGCTGAGAAATGACCATCAGTACTAGCAGTACTCTGTGCGGACTGTGAACAGAACGCAGATACTTCTTCGTCAGTCTCCAGCATTGGCACCACCTTCATTGTCCTGCCATCCACAAGGAATATGCCGCCTCTAGATTGAATGATGATCAACTCGTCCAGTTGGAAGCAAGATGGGCAGAGTGGATGCTGTCTGGATCCCATATCAGTGGTGATCCGGAGAAACCCAATGCGCCTGCAATCATTGGGCATGTCGCACTTCATCAGCCAGCTGTGGTACAGGAAACAATATGCAACCAAGCCGACAAATAAGCAGGAAGTTGGTGCCAAAAGCTGCATTTGGAGGTTGTGGAAATGACATCATCACATAATGCATTATATGGAGCAGGAAACCAGTGAAAGTGATGCCACTCCATACAAAACACCTCGATGATGACGTAATAGCACAACCTATACTCAAGAAAAGACATGGAAAGTATTGAAAAGGTATTCCCGTTTTTAGGAACCCCAACAAAACTTCCAACTGACATGCGAATACATGTACTAGCATAATCCAACAAGAGTGAATTATTTGGTAACATTATTAGGCTTCAAGCTTGTCATTTCCCAGGATTCACATTTGCCAGGATTCACATTTGCCAGGATTCACATTTGCCAGGATTCACATTTGCCAGGATTCACATTCGCCAGGATTCACATTCGCCAGGATTCACATTCGCCAGGATTCACATTCGCCAGGATTCACATTCGCCAGGATTCACATTCGCCAGGATTCACATTCGCCAGGATTCACATTCGCCAGGATTCACATTCGCCAGGATTCACATTCGCCAGGATTCACATTTGCCAGGATTCACATTTGCCAGGATTCACATTTGCCAGGATTCACATTTGCCAGGATTCACATTTGCCAGGATTCACATTTGCCAGGATTCACAATCAAGAAAAAGAGGTTTGGGCTACAGTATTGTATCAACAAGAGTGACAAGGGAGAAGGAGAGAGAAAGAAAGAAAGAAAGAGAGAGAGAGAGAGAGAGAGAGAGAGAGAGAGAGAGAGAGAGAGGGAGGGAGAGAGAGAGAGAGAGAGAGAGAGAGAGAGAGAGAGAGAGAGAGAGAGAGAGAGAGAGAGAGAGGGAGGAAGGGAGGAAGGGAGGAAGGGAGGGAGGGAGGGAGGGAGGGAGGGAGGAAGGAAGGGAGGAAGGGAGGGAGGGAGGGAGGGAGGGAGGAAGGAAGGAAGGGAGGGAGGGAGGGAGGGAGGGAGGGAGGGAGGGAGGGAGAGAGCGAGGAAGAGAGGGAGGGAGAGAGGGAGGGAGGGAGGGAGAGAGGGAGGGAGGGAGAGAGGGAGGGAGGGAGAGAGGGAGAGAGGGAGAGAGGGAGAGAGAGAGATAGATAGATATATAGATAGATGGATAGATAGAGAGTGAGAGAGAGAGAGAGAGAGAGAGAGAAAGTAATTCGGACAACTTCACAGAGTGAGAAACACCACTTACATTCCAGGATCTCTTGATTGAACTGTGAACGCAAACTGATCAAACAGGGAGACGCGCATGTCTTTGAACCCCTGCAGATCGCGACGGGTATTACACACCATCTTACCATCCTGATGAACAGTCACACTGCAAACACCAGGGGAGATAGCATGACAATATAGCATACACACAGCACACAGTCTCCAAGTCTCTGCTGGTTTGCACAGGTTCTTCTTGTCCCTGCAAAAGGTTCAGGTCAGCAACAACATGCACTACCAAACACTCTCAGCCAAGGTAGCCCACAGGTGTGCCATTCCATCAACCTCGCGATGACACTAGTCTTTCATGACAGTATACAGTACTGCACAAGCTCTACATGCTGCCAACGTACACACGTGTATCCCCCCCCCCCCCCCCCCCCACACACACACACGCACACACCACCGCCAACTTTCTTTCTCCCTGGCTTCCTCATCTATCCTTAGCAGCAGTGCTGCCTCCATGCCGTTTTTCGTCTGGCGCAGGGAGAGTAATGCCCAGTGATCAAGTACAGTGTGAGTTACGTTACAATTATACTGCTCTTCACCGTACTACAGTGCTCACTCGGGCAAAATTCCCAATCGCAGTCAAGTCACAGAAGTCCACCAGCCGATTGCAAGTAGCTGCTGTTAACGAAATATCACCTGGATGAATCCGGGGAATTGTGTGTTGTTCCCTACGTGGGAGTTCGCGCTTTTCCTGACGACTTGCCGAATTCTCACTTGACTGACTCACGACTGCCATCAAAAGCATGCGAGAAGCGCTCGTTCCGCACCTCCATGAGGGGCACTGACTCACGCTGCGGTCTGCAGTTCGCGAGGTGTTTGTCGTGCTGGAAACAGTGACACTGTAAGTTGGTATCCCTAGTGATGTTTTTAGGCTCTACGAGCAGAAACTTTTAAATTATCCTACTCAAGCTGAACTGATGAGGGGCGAATGCCCCTGGAACACTGTGTACTGAGCAGAGAGTGGTCCTTTCTTGCAGGTTTACTGAGTGGAAAGTTCGATGGACTTCTCGTACGCTCTGGATGGCAGTCGTGAGTCAGCCAACTGTCCTACTTCACCATCAACAATACTTATTCAATTGCAACATTCCTGTTTTGTTTGGCAAGAGAAAGAGCACCTCCACCTAACACGCTCTCTGGCCTACTGCCCCTGCAACCTGCTGTAGACAAGAATTCCAGCATTCCTGTAACCTGCTGTAGTTACTGATGCTGCAACCCGCTCTGACTACTGATGCTACAACCTGCTGGCCTAGGACGGTTTTTCGTTGTCTGGGGCTCCTACTACCTCACACACCAGCAACATGACTACAAGTTGTAGATACTAAGAAACCATTCTTCCTCCATGCAGCACAGCTGCTGCTGTTTCCACCACTATAGGTCTCATCAGTGAGGGTTGAGAATAATTTCTAGCCATTCATTATTCTCAACCCTCAGTGGTGAGACAGACCTATAGTGGTCGAAACAGCGCGATATGGAGGAAAAAATTATTCGCAGTATCTACAACTTGGAGTCATGTTTCTGGTGTGTGAGGTCGGCCAGAGAGCGCGTTTAGTGGAGGTGGAATTACTTTATTGATAAACATGCCGAAAGCTGCTGCTGCTTACCCATAGAGAAGAGAAAGAGCAATGCGATTTATGACTAACTGGGGAAGGAAGATAAGAATCCCGAGAGGTTAATCTTATTCAAGATTTACTACTCCCATAACAAATGACCACCACCCCCTATCTTTATCCCTCTAGTGATCAACACACGGATATATCGGATCCTCATATAATTTTCTACTTCTGAGTCAGTAGGAGCGCGCTTACACTGCGACCAAAACACGCATCCATGCAGTCAAGCGGCCAAGTTGGATGGCAACGACATGCACGTGACAAAACGTCGCGGTTATATTTCAAACTCTGACCACAACCTCAAGAGGGGGGGGGGGGGGGCATATATGTCGAGTTGCATGGATGCGCGTCCTCAAGGAAATATCACATCCAAACTTCTCGATAAAGCATCAAAATGGCAGCAGCTTTCCATCACATTCTGGTAGTATTTTACATGCACTTTTTTGTAGCAACAATGATGAATGAGAGAAAATATAGAGGAGACTACGGGTACTATGAGAGATTGCTGGAACAACTTTGCATACGCGTACATCATACTATGCTCCGTACCCACATATACCCAATGCTGTAGACAGCAAGCTGTTTCGGCCATCTAGGCCTCATCATATAATATATAGCACCAAGGTCATACAAGATCTTTGTTTCTTCTCCTATTGTCAAAATCCGCTATACATGGAAATTCAGCCTTTTAAACACAAGGTAGCACTGGGACAGGATACTTACAGATAACCAAAGCCTTTTGACCACCCAGCAACACCTTTCAGTGGCAGCACAAGACATCTAGTAAGTATACAACAGCCAAGACATACAGGACATGCAAGAAATACAAGTTATTTACCGGTACTTGCACTCCAAAAACATGGGTGCAGTGAATGGGATTTTTGGTCTTTGACCACTTTGTGGTGGGTCTGATCTACTCACCTCCCACCGCTTAGGAGCTGCATCTGCGCCTTGATCCAAGAGGGTGGTGGCGTTCCTGCGGATGTGGAAAACTTGGCTTTCAGCCAAGTCTCATGCGAACCGTGAATTGCTTTTAATACTTTAAAAAATTCGGCAAGGGGTGTGTGTGCAGTCCTCCGTGAAGACTGCACAACTTCTGCATTTTCATGTGTGTAGGCAGCAATCTCCCTTGATACAGCTCTGGGCAGTCTTTGTTCTGTTGCTAGTTTTTCAGTTGTTGTGCATCCTGGATATTGAGACGATGCCAGTGAGCATAGTCTATTCTGTCCATACACTGTTACTTCTCAACCATACCCACGGTGCAAGAGGAGGTATGCGTGAAGAGGAATGATAACAGCGAAAAAGTAACCTCAGCGTAAGCATGAGAAACGGGTTCAGAACAGTTTTTTCTTCTTATTGGAATCATCAGTGAACTTATGTAACAAAGTACACGCATACGTCTGAAAGACTCGGCTTGCAGCAGGTTATAGCGTAGCATCAAGAGTACATAACCCAGAGTGTGCAACTCCTATCTCGAGCTGCGATGGGTTCACCCACGGCGGAATTTTTTTATTGCGTCATTCTTTGGCTGAAGTACATCATCAAGTGCGTATGCTTTCCCGCACATTTTTTGTAAATACGGTGAGAGTTCACCAGGTTCAGGACACATCGATCTATCGTCCGTTGTTCTGCTTCGACTACCGTAGCTGTGATGCACAAATTCTTTGTACTTAGATCTCCGGCTACGCATGATGGCATCAGCGAGCCAAACAGCCGCCAAAGACTGATGTCATAAAAAAATTCCTCCGTGGGCTGGGGGATCGTCGAGTTGCACACTCTTGGTTATGTACTCTTGGTAGCATGCAGGATAACCTTGGAGCAGGTTATAGCGTAGCACGCAGGATAACTCACTATGCTAGTGAGGCTAAGTTGCGCGTCTTTATTTGATATGAAGTGAATTTCTGCTCGCGTTGCTTGGCTCACATGTTCTTAGAGCTCTTGAAAGGTTGAAACACATGAATTTTCACGTCCCATCTACCACCGGTGTCTTTTCGGAGAAAAAGTTTGATATTTGGAACAAACGACTCGAGCTTGTTGTCACAGTCGAAGATTTCTAGACATCCCCCAGTTCAAGTTTGTGCTGTATCAAGTTTGTGCTGTATCAAGTTTGTGCTGTATCAAGTTTGTGCTGTATCAAGTTTGTGCAAGTTATCAAGTTGAAGCAGTTGTTGACCTCCGTAATCCAGAACTCCTCGGCTAGTGGCAAAAGACAACAGCAGCTGCAGCTTGTGCGTTAACTGGTGGATCCTCCATGTCAAGCAGCATACACATCGATGAACAGCAAAAAAGAAGAAAAGGAAATAGAAAAGGCGCCAATCTTGACTTAATGATAGCTTGCATAGACCTCGGTCCTACCGGTAGGACCTACCGGTAGGACCATCATACACAGACATGCTGCATGGCCTCTGTTCTAACATTGACGTAAAACTTGACCCTAAACTGTTGCTCAGGGGCTAATGAAGGAGTCCACAAATTTTAGACGTGATCGCACAAGGCATAGTACGAAATTCCATGGTAACAGCAAATGGTAACCATGGAAACGGTGTATGGAATTATGCATTCCACTGCCTTGGCAGACTAATAAAAACATTAGTACCTCACCACGATTGATGTGCCATGGTCAAAATTCACTTTGGACAGAGTTGCAAGCGCTCCGACAGGAGTATGTGCGGCCATTTTGACAATTGATAAAATTGCGCGTATGCAATGCACTGGACATAGTCTTGCATTTTGCGCCATTACTTTGCCTGACAAAGACCTCATCTCAACAATTGTTTCAAGAAATTTCTCAACCAAAAGCACTTTTGCAGCGCGATTTCTTGGGTCCTACCGGTAGGACCCGTGGTCCTACCGGTAGGACGGCATGCAAGCTATCATTAACCTCCACTGAAAATCATGATAACTGTAACAGTACAGGGATGAATTTATCCTGGATCGCATCGCAGTTTGCGATGCAAAATCGATCTACTGCTACTCAAAAGTCATCCTGACTCGCAGAAAACTGCGATACATACAGACTGTCCATGCCTAGCCTGCTCTGTCAAGTAGCATGCATACAGTGCCTTGTATGACTCAGTCAGGTTTTTTTTGCAAATGGGCTTTCAGCATTACTCTCAAGAAGGACAATGTGGTAAACACCCAACCTTAAAAGAAAAATGCTAATCAAAACAAAAGACTGCTACACAATTGTGATCTTGTATAGCAGAAACTGCTATGCAAAAATATCACAATAAATTCATCCCTGCAGTAGTTCTGGAAATGCTTTGGATTGAGGAAGACTCCTGGACCGACGATAGCATTGCCGGCAAGTAATAGTTTCTCCATTTTTTCCGCCTCGACAATATTTGAAAATCCAAAAGATGAATCATGCAAACCTACGATTTTAACAAAATACAACCGAAAACACCAGCCTAAATTTCTTTAACTCGCATTGTAAAGCAATGTGCAATGAGAGAGGAGAGAGGAGAGAGAGAGAGAGGGGGGGGGGGGGAGAGAGAGAGAGAGAGAGAGAGAGAGAGAGAGAGAGAGAGAGAGAGAGAGAGAGAGAGAGAGAGAGAGAGAGAGAGAGAACTGCAACGCACGTTGAAATCTTGCTTTTATGCCAATCGATGGCCCATTTCACGTAAAATTCAGCGTCATGTCAAAAATAATGCTCAGCTTAACCTCTCTATTGAAGCTGCAGACTCCATAAACATTTTTACTGATTCTTTTCTCGTTGGTTTTCTACATCTAGGGCATGTTCGATTATACGAATCCGTGAGCCCCGGACCCGGATTCGCCAAATTCATACATGTTGATTGTACGAATCCGGATCCCGAGAGCATGGATTCGGATCCAGTCAACCCACCTCCCAGAGACGGATTCGACGGATTCATTTCCATGGTACGACTCATATCTACTCAAAACTCCCAATATGCGTACACTAGGTCAAGGGTTCACCATATTGCGTACAGATACTACGGGATGAGCTGTAGCAACACAGTTGCTAAGGCCTTGAAACAGATTATCGGTTGTGCACATTCGATTATATCCGTCCGATCGAAGTGATCTGGTCGGCGGGGATCGGGATCCAGTTTCCACAATCGAATGCAGCCCAAGCATTACACTGTCCTTTACCCACAACAAAAACAAGTAAGCATTTGAGCACTCTCACCTGGCTTGGAAGCGAGCAATGGGTATCACCCCGTCCGTGCTGCTAGCCAAGCTCTGTGTGTAGTATTCATACTCATCAACAGCACCAGTGTTAGCATCAGTGAATTCGGGACAGAGATGAATTACTGGTGAAAGGAAGCTGGTTACAGAGCGGGCATCGACCACCTGAAAGAAAAATAACATTGCTGCATTCTGAAAAGTCGGTGTCAACTGACTTTTTTCGGCTCAAGTCAGTCAAGTGTTTCTATTTGGATATATCCGTATTATAAAGTGGATACTTGGGCATGTGCAGCCTGCTCACAGTATATACGTTGGGAGCACTTTGAATGGACACAGGGCACACCCCTGCTCACACAAGTGAGACCATCGACAGCTGCAGGATGTTACTACATGTACATGATCTGTACTGCACAGTAAATATATCGTTGATTAATGAATGGAATGGGCATGATAATTATTGTTTTTCCTTCTCCACAATGTCCCACACATTGCATGCCACAACACATATAAAGCTTACAGCTAGCGCGCGAACTTTATGCTCTTGATACAGCACAATCTTCTTAAACAGAAAGCAGATGCTTGCTTCACCAAAAGTGAAGACTGCATGAAGACGAAAGCTGCCTCCGGCCTCATCTGCAGGCAGTGCCTTGGTACTTGGGCGCTTGCCGGTATTCACTGCCTGCAGACGTTAGAAAGACAAGACATTTCCAAAAGAATGCCTCTGTATCCAAAAAGGGGAACTTTCGAAATAAAATACAATAGGCAAAGAGGCGAAAAGGAGACAAAACTTGCAGTCAAAGTGCGAAACATGTGAACACACTACTTTCGCAGCCACAGAAAAACCATCAATCTGATCTAAACGTTTTTTGTGGCTGCCTTGAGCAATCAACCACCACAATAAGTGACCAATGAGGATACAGTGTGCTTCGATCAATATAGAAGCCTCCTTCACATGGGCATCGAAAACTAAATTTTCTATTTGTTGGACTCTTCATGAAAAAGAGGGCAATATACATGTATTCATACTCGGCATGCACTTCAAAGTTTGCGTCAGCTAGTGGAGAGCAGCTAACAAGTTGTTGTTAGGTTTGCAACGCATGCACTATCACGATGCTTACCTCATAATCACAATACTCTCCACTGGTCACATAGAGACGCAGCAACTTCTCAGCAGCAGCTATCTCCGCAGCATCCGTCATCTTCTCATGAATCTGTCGTCGGACATCCTTCAAGAATAAGACAAGCGTCAAATGGCCAGTTTTGGCTTGAAACTACCGCAGTTGAATGTGGTCCATAAATTTACCGCACTTGGCGGTGTATAGTGCATATTATAGACGTGCTATTTCACGCTGAAAACCGCGGGTGAGCACTATACACACGATAATAAAGATCTGCACGACGAAAAGTACTAGTAGTGCAAAATGTACGAGATTCCCCACTTCTGATCCGGCATAATCCAGAAACACAAACCCTCCACCATTTGTTGGTTAAGCAAGTCGAGTCTGTCACTGTCACGTCTCACGCGTAACATGTTTCGAAGTACGCAGTTAGCTGAAGTGCTCCCCAGTCTGCGTACAATTGAGTATCATCATCCGAGCATGTGTATAATTTCTCCAACTAAATACAGTGAGACCTGCCGAGGTGACCACTCTGGTGAGGTGATCAGCTGAGCTAGAGGACCACTACAACCAGGACCAAGGGATGTTATTTCCGGGCGGACCACTACAACCAGGACCAAGGGATGTTATTTCTGGGCAAACAACCCAGGATAGTGGTCACGGAGACTACCTGTACACTGGACAACATTTTGCAGGTCCCTTGAGCGGTCGGCTTGGACAGGTTTCACTGTACCTTGGCTTCCATGATTGAAATGTTGCTCCAAAAGGGGCTACACATTACACACGGGCGCATGTTATACTCCCAGTCTCCGCCGGCAGACATACTTCATGATTATGCCATGCTCATATGCATGTATTCACCAAATGATACCAGAAGTAATCATAAGTTCGAGGGAATGAAAAATGGAAAAAAGGCTGAATAAAAGAATAGACTATTGACTCGAACCTGGGACCTTTGCTAAAGGTTAGTGATGCTCTAACCACTGAGCTATTGCGCATTCGTCACCCAAGCAGTGACTGTTCAATATTTTTGTTCAGACTTTGAACCTCACGATTCCTGTGAAACTACACAGGCTGGAGGGACATAGCCCTCACTGTACCCACACACATCATGTAGTAATTAACTAGTACACGGGAGCCCAAAAGCATCAAATATCCATACGTTTGAGGGAATAAAAGGGGAAAAATCTGAAGAAAAATACCAGAAATGGACTCAGATGGAGAGCCAAGGTTTAATTTATACAAAAGAGAAAGACCAAGGAACTACAAGTTGCGCTGTTGCGCTATACTGTCCACTAACACCACCAGTTACTAAACAATCAGCTCATGCGATAACACTGCACGACACTGACCGACGGTATTGACGTTCTACAACTAACTGGCTAACAGTTCTAGCACATCTTGGATGCGCACTCCAATAGCCTTCCACTTGGAAGGTTCTAAGTTATAGAAATAACACAAGGAGGGGAAGGTGAGCGCAACCAAGATTAGCACGAGCTGAAAGTCTCAGCTGTGAAGGACGTTGGCGGATGTTCATGCATGTCGATGGCGATACTGGCAAGACCGTCGGTTAGTGTCGTGCAATGTTATCGCATGAGCTGATTGTTTAGTAACTGGTGGTGTTAGTGGACAGTATAGCGTAACTTGTAGTGCCTTGGTCTTTCTCTTTTGTATAAAAATACCAGAAATGAATATAATTATTAAATCAGAGCACACCTCAAGCACCATTGCATATAGTCCCGATTTTCAATTTAGGAACACCGCCTTGCCACAGCAATAGACGAAGAAGGAGGAAGAAGGAGGAAGAAGAAGAGGAGGAGGAGGAGGACAAGACTATAGAGCATGTAGCCATAGTAGTGATAAAGGAAATCTGGTACTTGTTTTGTGCAGTTTAGAGTAAAGCCAAGAGGAATACACTACACTACATTACACTACATGCACCACACAACGTACAATGACAGGGTGTATTCTAGGACGAATTTCCAACCGGTTACGGTCCAATGAAGAGGGGGGGGGGTCCAGGGGTCCCCCGCGGAAATTTTTTTCAAAATACAACCCAAATATGGCACTCGACAGCAATTTAACAGATTTCTTGGTGCTGGAGTACAAACTCGTGACCCTAGTACCAGCCCACGCGGCTTCGCTGGAAGTATCCGTCCAGAAAAAAGCGTTTGACCATTCACAGCTCCATTCACCCACAGAAAAGTACGGGCGGTTGGAACTGATTTGTAACCTTTCAACCGGTCGCCAACAATTTCAACCGGTCGAAAACCGGTTGGGGCGGTTCTAGAAAATTCCCTGAATGTACACCACACTACACAACACACACTACACAACGTACAATATACACTTCACAGCATCATGACACTACACAACTCTGAATTGAATGCAGTGCATTCCTCACTCCCACCGAAACCCTCACCTTGTAGAGAAACGCACGTAAAGCACCTCTCAGGTCAAGGTGGTGTGTGCGGCCATGGGAGCCATCGGCACCTGACAACTGTAAGACAAGCGGCTCCACTGCCAAGTATCCGTGCAGGTAGCGATGAAGAACAACACTTGGACCATTGGGCACATTCACCAGCTCAACATGCTCTTCAGCTGCGCAACAGGATTTCACTGCAAGCAGAGCATGTTATACAATCTCCATTTCACTGCAAGCAGAGCATGTTATACAATCTCAATAACCATATGCATACGCAGTGCTGCCAAATAGTAGTCACACAAATTAGGACACCATTCCTGAACCCCAGAAAGGACAATGGACACTTTCGATTATACATTTGGGCCCAGGTTTTATAATTCTCGAATGAACAGAATGAACGGATTGCGGCCATGTAACTGTTAAACGAACGACTACACGTAAAAATCGTAAAAGGGGATCACATGGGATCCCGTGCACCCTCTCGTGCACGTGAGTGCTTCAATTCTGGAATTAGCAAATCCGCCTCAGAATTGACGGAATTGGAATTGATGACGGAATTTGGGTAATCGAACGATGCATCCACCATAACTAATTCTAGAATTGACCGAAATGTGTGTAATCGATTGCGGCCATTGTTCTTTTTGCGGTACAGTGACATGAAGATGTGTTCAACTAATTCACATGCTATAGGGGTTATGCGAATGATTTCATGACGGATTTCCTAATGGGCACTAGCCACTAAGTATACAGTGCAATTCAGCAGATTTCTAAATTCTAATGGGCACTAAGTCTGCAGCATGAGTCGCTAGTGCAAGTGCAGCGCTATGCCGCCGCGGAGTCCGCAACTTTGCCAAAGAATCTCAACTGATGCTGTAATTGCATAATCTCTCTACTTAGCAGAGAGGCTCTTTTTTCAGATCGGGTTTCAACGCAGAGTGGATTTTCAGACAGTGTTGGAGAAATCGGACTATCTCTTAATTTGCTGGCCAAAAATCCTATATATAGGATTTGAAAATATGTGACCTGTACGCCATTGTTATTGGTCATCATGAGTCATTCATGACCCATAATAACGGCATAATGGTTTTCATAGAAGCTGTAAATATGTTTGAGGCATGAATGTTTACTTTTTAGATTCATAGGACATCATGAATACCCATTTTCAGCTAGAATTGGAACTTTGAGCAGCATTGTTAAGCTGGTGTCATGGAAACGACTGAAGCAGTGAATGTGCAAAAGAACATTACAGGTGTGGCACGGGGTGGTTTCATGACGACATATCGCACATGCCGTCGTGAAATTACCAGTTTTAAGGATAAAACAAGGTCCAGTAAAATCTCAAATCCTATATATAGGAACTTAGAAGTTGCGACTTCGTTGGAGCAACCAACTTCGAAAAATAGGGCACAGGCCTTAGAAATACTGCGCAAGGAGATGAGCTTTAGATGTAAGTATTTGAAAAAATTATCTTATTCAACTCTCCATATCTACTAAGACCTAACACGGAAGAATTGGTCACATGCGTTTCCCTATGCTCGTGCCACATCCATTCTGAGTTGAAAAATATGACCAAAATCCTTATAGGATTTAGCAAATTAAGCACTAAAATCATATTATAATATGATTGAAGAAGATCCGAACTACACGTGGGACTGAAGGGCCATCACACAATACAGGGTTGAAAGTGAATTGATTTTGCACGGGTGTCTAAAGTGGATGGAGTGAGCGACGTCCCATTATTTTCCAAAAGGCATCAGTAAAAATGGTACCCAGCTCAAACCACCGCAGAATGTAGCAGGCTAATGCATCCGTGTGTATAAATGTTCACCAGACATGGAGATGAACTACTGTAAAACCGACACATTTCGGTGGAGATTTATTTTCGATAACTTCGGTACAGGTAATTTTTACCGTGAATAAAACGCGACCTAAAATTCAACAACGCCATGCCACACAGTGTGCAAAATGCATTTTTGGATCTGGAAAACTGGTTTACCGAAATTTTCGCACTACCAAACTATTGATTTTGTGAAATACCGAAATATTACACCACCGAAAATTCCTGGTTTTACAGTAATGAATGAATGCATGCATGCATGGGCGACTGCTTGAATAAAAAGGAAAGTACTACGGAGCTAAGAGCTTACGGGTGGCGAGCTGACTCGTCTTCCATGCCACAGGCGCCATGTTGGCATAAGAGTTGACACATAGCGAGCTGCAGCGATAATAACAGATTTGGTTACAATGAGTTACATGACATTTAATTAACGGTCAATCTCTGGTCAGACTCGGGTGGAGAGCCAAGGATTAACTTTAAAAGAAAGGACCAAAATGTTACTTGTTATCCGTAGTTTGTGTCCAACACTAACAGTTATGAGCAAGATGTTGTGTAGTCAGAAGGTGCAACAGCTAGTACAATACTGACTGATGTGAGACTGACATTCAACGACCTGATGATAAGCTATATCACGTCTTGGATGCACAAACCAACAGCCTTCCAACTTGGAAGGTTCTAAGTTATGAAATAACAGGAGAAAGGGGAAGGTGAGCGCACTCAAGACGAAAACAAGCCCGGTCTGTCTCACTTCGTGTCCACGTAACTTCCCCTCTTTTTGCTTATCTCCGATAAACATGAGCCTCCCAAGTTTGGTGGTCGTTGTTTCGCGTTCTCGAAGTGAGCCGTGGCCGTCCTGTGCCGTGGTCCTTCGTATTTCGTCACCTTCTCGTTGAAGCTAACATTCTTACTTAAGTAGTTTGCCGTGATGTTAAGCTTGTTTTCATCTTGAGTGCGCTCACCTACCCCTTTCATTACTTGGAACCATCCAAGTTGGAAGGCTGTTAGTTTGTGCATCCAAGACGTGATAGAGCTTATCATCAGGTCGTTGAATGTCAGTCTCACATCAGTCAGTATTGTACTAGCTGTTGCACCTTCTGACTTCACAACATCTTGCTCATAACTGTTAGTGTTGGACACAAACTACGGATAACAAGGAACATTTTGGTCCTTTCTTTTAAATCTCTGGTCAGCTAGCTGTTTTCGATCTTGCTAGATGTCATCAGCGGAGCTCAGAGTGATTGGCCGTTTTCGATCTTGCCAGATGTCATCAGCGGAGCTCAGAGTGATTGGCTGTTTCGATCTTGCTAGATGTCATCAGCGGAGCTCAGAGAGATTGGCCGAGCAGATCACAGTGAGATCTACTGAACAAAAAAGAATTTTTAAACTGGCTCAAAGAATCAAAGTCAGCAGGCTCTAACTGCGAGAAACACAGCGAGCTTTGCATGATGTTTCTAATCAGTACGACGGTGTTGTAACATCCACTAAGACAATATGGAACCGCAGTGCCCAATAACGAATGCATTCAATCCCAGATTCGAAAGTGCGACATGACTCATTTTCTTTGCAGCATGCGACCATGATCGTGACCATAACACCTGCTCATCTCAGACGAGTCCTAGACCAGCAGGTGTACACAATGTATGCAAAAACTGGCCCAAAGGTGACTGGAATAGGGGTCTGGGAGAGCGGGATATGGGGATGGAAGAGAGCCCACATCACTTCACACTACACTTATCCATGTCGTCTCCAGGCTACAGCAGACTGGTCAATCCAGACCTTGAAGTAATCCATTCAACTAAGACCATGGGTGAGTTTAGTAATGAGTGTTATGGACCACATGATGCACATAGCAGAAGTGCAACACGAGAAATCTAATTTTATTCTTCTAAGCACAGGGAAGAGGGGAGTGGAAGGACCTTCGTGACAACGTCTGCAAGTTCAATGTTGGCGACTATGACTAAAGCCGAATAATATTGCTCCAGATTATATCACATTATTTTAAGACTCATAACTGCTGTGGTAATAATAATTGCCATCAACACATTTTCACGACAAAATTTCCTATTAACGTAGTGGGTGGATTTGCATGCACCTGCCAGCATATTACTGGGTTATTCTCAAACTGGAGTCGACAATGCCGTTCCTTTTCTTCCTGTGTCTGTTTCCTCTGTTCAATTTGCCGAATGCTGTCATGTGCTCCTTAGCAGGTACGTATTGGTATTGCATTTATTTTCATTTTTTGTTTTATATTTTGATTCCAGTTTCATGACGCACCGAATGCTCGTTGTTCACTTCCTAAGCCCATTCAGCACGTGCAAATTGGTGGGCGGTTTACCACCGCTGACATTGACGCGTAAGTGCATAATAATAATAATAATAATAATAATTTTACAAGAAGTCGGAGGCGGATAATACTTTAATAACGAAGGTACGTGTTGGGTCGTAAGTATCCACGCAAACACACATCCAGTCAAAATAAGGCACTTGTCAAAGTATCCGAACGTTTTCGGTCCCTTCTCATCAAGGATTATACAGGGAATGGCTCAAGTTGGAAAGACTAAAACTTATATAGCGTAAAGATATGAGATAACAACACTCGTGACAAGGTGGAAAAAGTATCAAGTTCAGCACGACACAAAACTCGAAGGAAATAATAATAGTGACAAGAACATAGTGAGCAAATTAAGTTACATTGTTAACACCTCGACGAGGAGTAACACCAAACAATTGTAGCGACAACACATTTTCTTTCTGTACGCAAAGTTCAGGATCTAACTTACGGATATACAAAGCTTCTAACACAGCCAGATGCAACGCACATCTACCACGTGACGATATTGAGAACACATTATCACTGTACAACTCACGACAATTGGTACGGGCTGACAGATGTTGCTTGATGGACGAAGTGCGATTCTTAGCTCCGTTGGGTGTAGTCTCCTCCAATGTCCCGTCATCTCGCCTCTTCGCGGCATCACCACTATCCGTCTCTTTGCTTTTCCGCGGCCTTCCACGTTTTCTGACACTAGCCGTTGTGTGCGCGATGCCCAGTGTCCTTTCAGCTACGTCTCCTCCATTGCGGATTTCTTTTAATCTTCTTACTCCAACTTGTCCGGTGTTCGATATTGAGGTTCGTTTTCGCGGTCTACCACGTTTTCGAATATTGACTGTTGTTGTCACTTCCGTTGTCGTTGTACGTGCGTCCTCACCCGTCCGTATTTTTACTTGGCTTCGCGTAACCCTTCCCGACGCAGACAGATCCTTTGTCAATTTCGGTGGTTTACGTGTCGGTCTTTCACCATCTTTCACGCTGTTCTCAGCTGGACCCTGCGCTATACACGCGGAGGAGGACGGGCATGCAGTGATATCTTCACAGGAAGAGGAAGATCCACCGATGGACTGGACAGCACATTTTGGAGGACGACCACGGCGAGGACGACACTCACGCGCATCAAGCGGAACAAAACGCTTGATACGCTATATATACGATATATAAGTTTTAGTCTTTCCAACTTGAGCCATTCCCTGTATAATCCTTGATGAGAAGGGACCGAAAACGTTCGGATACTTTGACAAGTGCCTTATTTTGACTGGATGTGTGTTTGCGTGGATACTTACGACCCAACACGTACCTTCGTTATTAAAATAATAATAATAATAATAATAATAATACTTCTAAGCGCACCCTCAGCTTAAAGGGGAAGTTAAGGCTAAAAT